GCCATTAGAGGTGTGACATTTGTGACACTAAGCTTTCAGAAGCCTATTACAAGGAGGATTTGAGATTGTTATTCCTACATAACAATCAAGGTAAGATCTAAACCCTAATTCATATGTTAATATCATTATTGTATGCTAGATCTAGGGTTTATGGCTTTGGATGATTATTGCATGTTCATTAGACAAACTAGATCCAAAGCTTTAGGGTTTGCATGTACACCATAGGAATGATGTAGTGCTCAAAACCCATCAACTTCATCTTGAAATATCATTATAGTGAATATAAATGAAACATAACATCATCATTACCATGCATATATATACAACTGCCATTGTTTACATCAGGTACAATCTTTTAAATAACATGACCAAAACATTAAATGTATGATGTTTAACAGTACACAAAACAAAATCCCCTATTCATGTTGATTCTTCTGCTTAACGAGTCCCTGAGAATACAAGTTATTTTGAAAACGTCAACATATATAATGTTGGTGAGTTCATAAGTATATTTGAGAAAATGATTTGTATAACTTTGTAATCACAAGAAAATCCTGTATTTTCTTAAAATAATTTGGTATGTTTATGTCTGATCTTGTATTAACGCATGTGTGTTATTGTTTAATAGAATGTCAAAAGTGATTGAAGAGAATGTATATAGAATGTCCCCGCACAACCCGATGTTGCCCGTAAAAGAAGAATAGTTAATGCTGACGTACCAACACCGAGGTGGGGTACCAGTGTGAGTGAGTTACAGAGTAATCCAATCATAAATGAAAATAGATAATGCTGTCGTACCAACACCGAGGTGGGGTACCAGTGTGAGTAAGTTTCCTAGTAATCCAACATAAAAGAAAATAGTCTTCTGCAAACTTCATAACGTTAATTCCTCTAAGTGAGCCGTCATAACCATACTAAATAATGACAATTTCGCCTGTCTTGGCGTTAGTGAACGCCGACTGAAAAATAGAATAAGGTTATAGTCACCCTAGACCGATGTAGTCTAACTGTAGCGAACAGCTCAGGTGTGGGGTGTGATCCCCGTATAGATCTATACACAAAACCCCGCTCTCCCGCAAAGAGACTCTGATTATAACTACATGCTATAATCGTACACTTAATAGGTGTCGACCGACAAAAACTCACTAGATCCTTAATCGAATTTACCCGAAGATAAACGTATAAAACTCATTCCAGGCCCAACGAACCATGTAAGTGAGCCACTAGGGCATCGCTAAACATGTGAGTCATTTCAAAACCTAATATGAATGAGATTATATAACATGGGCCCAAAATATATATATGTAAAAGGACAACTAAGGCCCATTTCACATGTAAGGTATTTATAGGCCCAAATAGCACGCAAATAGTATACAAAACCTATCAAACATATAAATGGGCCACTAAGACCCAATAACCTAGAAATGATCAAAATTAATCCGTTTGTTAGTTTATTGTTGGTTTTGGTTCAAGTATTCACTAAAATAGCATAAAAGGCCCACTTTTTGTAAAAATGACGTTCTTGGCCCAATAAGCCAAAAATTTACAATTAAGACCCAATTTTTGTAAAAATAACACTTTAGACCCCATTTTGTTCAAAACTTGTGTTTATGACTAGTTTGTGGTAAAAATAACATTTTAAACCCATTTTTGTCAAAAATATCATTTTTGGCTTCATTTTTGTAAAAACACACATTTTTCTGGTTTTTTTGGCTTTTCTGACCTAGTTGTTGGAAAATTTGTAGAATAAACATCGTAAGTCGAAATTTGGATCCGTAAATTCTGGAAGTTTGGAAAATTTGTCTACTTTGTTCAAAATTTTTCTCATAATTTTTAATGGCCTCTAACAAGTGTGAAATTGCTCACCTTCACAGGCTGATCCGAAATTATTTCAAATCTGATAGGCAGTTTTGTAAAATTCGCCAAAAACTGTAAAACAAATTGTATGAAAACGTGAGAGTAGTCATTTTAAAGGTATAAACCTGAAATTTTTGCATGTAAAACAGTTTTGAAAAATATTATCATTAAGGTGGTCAAAACAGTTCGATATTAGACCAAAATGTTTCTGTCAAGGGCTGAATTTTGAGTTTAGTTTATAGATCTTTAAACACAACACTCATTTTTGCTATTTTAAGTGTATAAATCCCAGATCTACTAGTTTACATGTATTTATATGTGATAACACATACTTTTCTCAAGGTTTTCATGTAGATCCAAGTGATAAACTTAATATTCTTAACATATTTTTAGATTTATGAAGTAAATAGCACATAATCAACAAATAAGTTATGAAAAACACACATATTCATGCATATACACATAGATCTACATAAAGCAACTTGTATTCTCCCCCAAAACCAAGTAAAAATCGAAAATAGGGGGTATGAACTCACCTTGCTTGCTTGTTCTCGGTTTGGTGAAGAAAAGAGAGAGGTTTCGGCTCTAGCAAGCCTTCCTTCAGTAGATCTCGAGTTCTATGAAGTTCTAGAGTATGGATCATGAAATAATGTGGGTTAAGAAGAGGTTTTTGATGAATTCAAGAAGTTAACCCATAGATCTAAATAAGAACTTACCCAAGATGATAATCTTAGTGAAAAACCTTCTTGGAGATGCCCACAATCTCGAAAATTTTTAGAGGAGTATAAAGGGTTCTTGAGAGAGTTTGAAAGAAAGAAATGGAGGTGGTGTTGTGGGGTGTTTGGCCGAGAGTATTATGAAGAGAGGGGAAGAGTGATTTTTTTTGCATGGAGGATAATAAGCTTCATAGATGTATGTGATTTCTAGATATATATTAAACAATTATGTGTTGTCATGAGCCTAATTCATCCTCCTTCCATTTCTTTTCTTCTTTTTTTTGTATATATATATATATATATATATTATATATATATATATATATATATATATATATATATATATATATATAATATATATATATATATATATATAAACACATTGGGCCGAGAATGGGCTCAATGAATGAATGTGAAATAGCTTTGGGCTCAAATCCTTGGCTTTGATCGAATTTCATAGGCCTAATAATATTTTTCGGCCCATTGGGCCCTTAGGATGGTTCACGGCCCAATATGGTATAAAGGAATGGGTTTATGGCCCATTAGGGCTAATTAATTCATTTATGGCCCATCATGATCCATTGGAGGTAGAATGAATCATTCTAGGCCCAAATGACCCAAAATGTTATAGATTGATGAATTGATGATTTTTTTTTGTCCCTTAGGCCCAATAAGAGAATCCTAGTCCATAATGAACTTGAGTCGGGATTTCTAGGGTTTCCAACCCTTATTTGAACATATGAGATGTATTTGAACGAGCATAGAGTAGTATTCACTTAGAGTACAAGCTTTTACAATGGATGATGTTTACATGAGAATAAAATTTCCTAGCAAAATGTAAGTTGTGACATAGTGAACAGGTATCAAAGGGGTATGTGTATACGCAAGATTTGATACACGGATGTCCTATAAAATGTTAACATTTTATGATATGTCTTTCACAAGATGCATTTGTACTATTATGCAATCACTTTACACAAAGAAATTGGTTGCAATGTAGTAGGACGATAAGCGTTGAAGAAAAGATGGCTATGTTTTTACATGTTATTGGACATAATGAACGTTTTCGAGCTGTTAAAGAAAGATTTCATCACTCCACACAAACGATTCATCAAGGTTTTCATGAGGTCTTACGTGTAATGATGTGTTTTGCACGAGAAATTATAGTACCAACCTCGTCTACTCCAACAAGAAATACCTCAGAACGACATAGACGGCTAATGCACATATTTCCCGGAGCAATAGGTGCACTAGATGGAACATTTATCATGCAGTTGCCCGTTGATCAACAAACTCGTTAGGGGGAAGAGAAAAGGTGAATGTTATCAAAATGTAATTGGAATTGTAATTTTATATGATATTCACCTTTGTATGGGCTGGATGGGAGGGCATAGCACATGATTCTAAAGTTTTGAAAGAAGTTGCATTTAACCCGACTTCCGGATTTCCATTCCCTCCACCAGGTTTGTAACTTTACTATACGTTTTTATTCTATATTATTTATATGATAAATTTGTCAATCATCTACAGATAAATATTACCTTTGTGATGCTGCGTACACCAACACCCGTGGATTTATGGCTCCCTACCTCAATACTAGGTATTGGTTAGCAGATTTTCGAAGAAACAGAGCTTTAACTAAGGAAGAAAGGTTCAATCATGCTCATGCACAACTTAGAAATATCATTGAACGTGCTTGTGGTGTATGGAAGGCGAGATTTCCAATTTTAAAACAAATGACTCCTTATCCTTTTCCAGTGCAAAGAGATAGTCATTGCTTGTGTTGCGATCCATAATTTTATAAGGAAATACGATATTCAAGATGACTTATTTACGAACTTTGAACAAAACACTATGGTTACTCCTAATGTTGGTGGTGGAGGAAGTGATGGCCAAAACATAGAAGGCATAGAATGGGGTTCAGAAGCCCGTTGACTATATGACTACTTTGCGTGACCAGATTGCTAATCAGTTACTTTCAAGTGGTTCACGTTAAATGAAGTACTTTTTTTTATCATGTATGACAATTTGTATATGGATTTTGTATTTGGATTTTAATTAATGTATGTTTAATTTGGATTTTAAATGATAATTTGTGTTTTTATATTTATTTTATCCGGCACAAGAGACAACACAAAGGTAATATGGTTATTTTTTTCATTCAGCACAATCATTCTGATAAATTATCAAACAGCATAAACTCAGTCAGATATGGACTCAGTCAGCATTTCTAACCCAGTCAGCTCTAACTCAATCAACAACTATCAAACGACCCCTAACTGTTGCATTTGGTTCTGATACGAATCTGAATCTTGGAGAATCTAGAAGTAAAAATTTGTGTAAATTTGGCTTATGTTTATTTCCAGATGATGAGTTTCCATGCCCTAAAGACCTCTATAAATCAAGTAAAGAATGATATTTTGCCAAATCTACATTCTATCTCCCAGAATTATATCATTTCTCATATACGTGAATTACACATGAACCGAATAAAATCTTTACAATTTTATCTGTTTCACTATCAAAAACCCAAATTCGAATATTCATGAACATGGGAATAAACAAAAGTACAAAACTACCAATGAAGCCTAAAACTTGCAGCTTGCATGAGTGGATGTGCAAAATACGCTCCAAGAGTCAATCCCGTAATAACCACATATGGCAACCTTATAAACTCTTTATAATAATCTTTTGGTAATTTCTGGCGTCCATCAATAATAGCCGCAAATGGAAACACACTTGTTCGACTTTTCACAATTTCAAAAGCTTCACCATGTCTTATTGCTAGCCTCCTATCTCCATTCCAAGCACCAAAAAGATGATGCCCGATTAGCCCTACTGATGCTGATACTGCTACTGAGTTCCCAATCCAGATCGTGTGGGCCACGCACCACATCACCTGTCCTACCAACTAAAAAAAAAAATAGCACAGTTAATGTCCGTGTCAGTATCATCCGTGTCGGTAGTGTCAGTATCAGTGTCAGTTATCAGAGTTTTAATACCTGTGGATGTCTAGTGATTCTCATGATACCACTTTCCCAAAGATGCATTTTCGGCTTATCAACGGCGGCTACTTCTAATAAATTAAAGGTCGATGGGTAAAGAAAGAAGAAGGATATGAAATTAGTGACCCATAAAAGATGATGTAACCATGGGATACTTTGTAGTTGCCATAACTGAACACCATCGTATCTATGGTTGATGAAATACACCTGAGAATCATTAAGTGTTTTATGTCATTTAAAATAGATTCAAATCGTCACTTGAAAAAACATTTGGAAAAATGAGAACTTACAATTGTACTAACTGCAAGAGGAAGAGAAGTTCCAGCAAATAACACACGAAAAGCTCTCTCTCCGATTAGTTTTTCACCAGGGTCTCTTAGGGTAGCCAATCCGCTATGTACAATGGCAAAAATTAGGGTAAGGAGGAACATTACAACCTGCATACGAAATTGGATTATTCAATAACAAATCTAATCATCTATAACATCAATTGGAGTATTCAATTCCCGAATGGGGTTAGATTTCAATTCAATTGATATGCACAAATTGGATGAAGAATTTATAAACAATCAATTCGATTAGATGAAGAAGTAGATATGAAAACTAACCTCCGGGCTTTCAGAGACGCTAGAAACGGAATCGATGAAAACTTTACCAAATCCAGTAGAATTGTCGAGCCAAGCAATATCGAGAATGAAAAGAACAACCCCCAAAACCACAGTAAAATAAATCCAAGATGTAATCTTTTGCTTCGCTAAGTCGAAATTTGCTGAATCCTCACCCACCAGAACATCCTTGGAAACACTCGTATCGGATTCTCCGATAACGAATACTCTGCGGTTTTTCCTCAAACAGTTTGAAGGCAGTAATTGGGTGTTCTTCAGGAAACCTCTATTCGAACAGGTGATAATCGGTGTTACAGTGCGATTGAGTTTGAGTGGGGAGAAGATGAATTTGGGAGTTCCTCGGAATAGAGGGAGGGAGGAGAAGGAACTTGAGAGGAGAATTGAGGGTGGCCATTTGTGTGTGGATTTGCACTTTTGAGTGTGTGTTTATTTTAAGCATTTTGTACCCGAAAACAAGGAAAAAGGGTATCTGGACGGAGTTGTGCTGCTGGTTTGGTTTTTGTGTTATTATGGAGGGAAGGGTAGAGTCACATTAAGGTGAGGGGACTTTGAGAACATTATAAAATGTTAAAAGATGCCGTCTAACTTTTTATTTCATGTAATTATTATACATGTTAAAAAACATAGCACCTTATCTAGTAGTCGTGCATGGATCGGTTTGGGTCAGTTTTGGATCCAAACCCAACCCAACCCATATATGTTTGGTTTCTGGTTTAAGAACCCAATAGGATCGGTTTCTGGTCAGATCGATTTCTTGGCTTCCGAGGTCGGTTTTTTCGGTTTCTTGGGTTCAACCCATACACTCACGGGTTCTGGGTTTTCGGTTTTAACCCATTTTCCAGAAATAAAGCAAGAAGTTAAACACTTCAAAAACACCAAACTGAAGTTAAATACTTAAAAAAAACATGAGTCTTACAACCAAATAGTCTATTACAAGTTACAACCAAAGCCCAAAAGTCTGTTACAACCAAAAAACAATCAAGCATGGACCAGTTTCTCGGGTTGGAGGTCGGTTTCTTGGGACGGTTTGTCGGTTTTAAGTATGGGTCGGTTTCTCGGGTTGGATGGGTCGGTATATGGGTAAAAACCGAAACCGAACCCGATTTTTAAGTTTTTAAAAAATTCAAATCCTAACCACCGGTTTTGCTTTGGTTTTGGTTTTTTCGGTTTTGGTTTTTTCGGTTTCGGTTTCGTCGTTTTTAGTTGGTTTCTTGGTTTGGGCCTGCTCACCGCTAATCTACACCGTGAAGTTTAGAGTCGGCTCAAATAACCGGTTGTTCGGAGCCGGATGGATTTCATCGTTGTGGCGTTCATCTGTTGCAACGCCTGCTTCAATGATTTCATCCAGGTATGTAACCCTTCATCCATTTTGCTTCACCCACTGAATACTTCATCTATTTTGCATCTTTCTCTATTCGATTAGGGTTCCACCGATAGTGTAACACCCGCAACTTCAGGCTAGATAATTAAAATATAATAAGCAATAAAATCGACATTTTGATAGTGTGTTATTTAGGATAAATAACCTTAACTAAAGTTATAGTATATGTGACAAGGATTTCGTACATATAAAGAACTCTGAAATCCGACTTCGTATGAAGAAGTTATGATTCTTCCAAGGGAAAATGAGGGAAGTCACTACACTGATTGATGAACTGGTATTGAATGAGGGTCACTCTAAAGAGGGAAGCTATAGTAGGACTGTAGATCAAACTGAACCACAAGTGGTTAGAAGGAACAACCTTGACCATGAGGTTGAGAGGAATGGATGCAAGTGAAAGGACTTCATGGCTTCCAAATCGGCAAGTATTTCTACGAGCCCAACACCAGTGGAAGCTATGGATTGGATCTCTGAAATAGAGATGATGTTTGATAGTTAGGACTGCAGCAACAGACAGAAGACCATCTTAGTGATCAGACAACTAAAGACTGGAGTATTGAGCTGGTGGAAGTTGTTGGTTGATTCTATGCCAAAGGGAGAAGCAATGAAGATGTCTTGGGAGAACTTCCTTGAGAAGTTAAAAAGGAAATAATACATGGAACAAGATCTTCTGGAGATCAACAACAAATTCTAGAATTTGAAGAGACGAAAGATGAGTGTCAGCAAGTATATTGCAGCTTTCACTAAAAAGATGAAGCTAGTTCCTAACTTGGTTCCTACCGAACTTTCCAAAGTAAATAAGTTTGTTATGGGACTACCAGCGGATTTTGGTCCAATGGTCAAACTAACGACCACTCTAAAAGCAACCATATGGCCAGCTAGGAATGTAGAGACCCGGATAAAGGAAAAGGGTATAGAGAAAGCTGAAACTGGATAGAAAAGGAAGTTTGAAGGATTTTCAAGGTCCGCTAAAAAGAGCAGATTTTCAAAGTTCATCCCCAGTGACAAAAGGTCTGGGGATATCAATGAGGCAAAGTGGTGTAAGAAGTGTAGGAAGAAACACTTCGGAAGATGCATCAATGAAGTAACTTTCTTCAATTGTGGAAAACTGGTCATTACGCCAGTAACTGCACCAGAGCGTGTGTTATAAATATGGAGAAGTTGTTAGGTTAGGTGGTGGCCAACAAAGAATTGTTTGGTTTAAAAAGGAAGAAAAATGTGGCATATAAAAAAATCAAAAATGGTTAACCTAACTTTTGAATACGACAATTTTTTGGTGGAGTAGATCAACAACAAATTCTCTTTGACTTTGGAAGGAAAACTCCTCTATAAATAGAAGCAGCCAAATCAAACAACACAACAACACAACAATCGAGATAGATACATAAATAAAATAGTGAGGTACTAATTTTTTTGCAGAGCCTTAATTTTGGCATCCAAAAATACGAGTGATATCTTATAATGAGTGATCATATTACAAGTGCAGTTTTAGCCTTGTATGATTGTAATTTTCTTTGGTGTTAAATAAAATCTCCTCTCTCTCTCTTATTCGCCCGTGGATGTAGGTCAGATTAGACCGAACCACGTTAAATATCGTGTTCAGTTTCATTTGCAGTTTTTCAGTAGTTTTAATCTGCGAGTTTTACCAAAATTAATTATAAACGGTGGTTGGTGGTGACGAGATCGGTGGTTGGTGGAGGTGAGATCGACGTCGATGGACAAAGTTGTAGTAAGGACGATGAAAGCAGATTTGAAGGTAGATGTTCTAGATCTGAAGGCGAATATTCTATATCTGTTCGGATGTAGACAGAGCTGGACTAGGAACTATAACATCCCAAACTTTCAGGTATTTTCAAATCCTTGCTTTGGTATTTAAATATGTCATCTTCGGTCCTTGGAGTATAAAGGAGTAGCCTTAAGAAGCCCTAGTGGCAATATGGTAATTTTTGGGAGCATCCTTAAGAAGGTCATGCATTAT